CCGACACAATGCATGTGGCACACACCTCTCTCGATTTACGTACGACTGCATATCTGCCGCTGCTTGCCACCCAGCTGCCGCCCAACGACCCCTATATTTGTCGCACATGTGGTAGCCCACCGGGCGCAGAATTATACTCTCTCACTCTATATAAGCAAAAGAGCGTTCTACGTGTCCACCCAGCTCGTCCACTCTTACAATCATCTTCGACGATCGATTTTCCCGGTTCCATGCAGTCATTATCAGGGTGCGTTGTGTTCGCGGGAAGGCGGGTAGATGGGTCAACCGCTCCCCTCCTACACCTCAAGTATTCACTTTTTTTTTTTTTTTTTTTTTTTTTGTGCAGCGGGAACTGAGTCACTTCGCACAGGCCTGAGCCGCACAAAGTCAAGACAACCTACCCACCTGGTCGGCGCCCGCAATACTTTTTTTTCTCTTTTCCTTTTATAAAAAAATAATAATAATATCGTTGTGCCCCGATGGACCACAGATCAGATATTAAACTGATCAGAACATATATTCATTGCACTTTATCTTACTTAGCCAAAAGGCCGAGAAAGGTATTCGGCGCCCGCAATACTGCCACCCAAGCGCTTGACCACTGACGTCGCACAAATCATCATCAACTCTCAAACTCAATCACCACCTTTCATTCGTATCAGCCCCCACCCAACTCACAATCATCACCAATCCCGTCCAATCACAACCATCACCTACGTGCCCCACGTGCGACCACGCATTTTTCCCGGCGAGAGGGAGAAAGAGAGAGAGAGAGAGTACTGTTATGGCGAGTCCATGGATGATCTTTCCATGCTCCCGGCCGCCCGCTTTCCCGGCTTCCTCCGTCACCAAACAGTTCTTTACTAAAGCGCGAAACCGAACGACGTTCCAATCAATCAAAGAGCGCGCAACTCCTACACTACAGTGCTAACCACCTCTCCCTCTTACCTCCCTCCCTCCCTCCCTCACTCACTCCCTCCCTCCTTCCCTTTCACGGAACAGGCATCCCAACCTCATTCGAGATAATCTCGGGAAACGAGCACAGTGACGAACAGCGTTCCACTCGATCAAGAGCGCACAACCTAGTACTACAGTGCAAACCACCTTTCCCTCCTCCCTCCCTCCCTCACTCCATCCTTCCCTTCCACCGACCAGGAGCCATCCAAATCCTCCTTCCAGATAAAGCGCGGGAAACGAGAAGACAGAGAGTACGCCATCTCCCGTGTGAATCCATGAGGAGGAACGGGTTAACAGCTTGACACGTCTCCTTCCGACTATCTCGCGGTTGTGGGGGGTGACGGGAGAGGCAGCGAAGGGGGGGGGTT